AGCCTGGGCAGCCCAAAGCCAGACTGCTTCCGAACCAGCAGAGAAAGGCCCGCCGGACACAGCCCAGTCCACCTGCCCCACAGTCTGAGGGCCCACACCCCAACGTGTCTCCTGCTCGGACGTCATTCAGAGTGATGGAGGAGCTCAGCCACCTCCCACCCTGTCACCAAACACCACCACATACCACATGACACCATTAGTCATTCATTCATTCCTGGGGCCCCTTTGTGCAGGAAGCTGGGCTTTCTTTAGGGGCCTGGACACCACAGCTCCCAAGCTGGCCACAGCCTGCCCCTCGGGCTATCTAATGCCCTTCTCCACTATCCTTCCCCTCTCCCCCCGGTTCTCCCGGGGCCTCTGCCCAGTGCACCCAGTCTCCAGGGCAGAAAGCCCAGCTTCCTTCTCTCTCCTCCCCAGCCCAGCCCAGCCCAACTCCCCTGGAACTGCCGCTTCCGCCCACCCTCCCCACCATGATTAGCCTCTCTCTTGCCCAGGCTTCACACGGCACCCCTGACCCCACACCCGATCTCCTCAGCCCGGGGTTCCCATATGCTTGGAAATGCCACTGCTCATTAGCTGCCTCTCCTGCTGGACATTCCCACTGAGTCAGACTCTACTTTCCCAGCACCAGGGAGCGCCAGGGTCCTCCCCCTGGGCCTCGCTCCTATTCAAGTACACACACACACACACACACTCTCATGCACACACTCCTTCCCCCTCCCCTGCCCCACACAAGCTACTGCTCAGAGGGACAGGGGAAGGGCCCAGGGGGCCGGGGTGTTGAGCTTCCCATCACCAGCCCCACATTGTGGTACTAGACTGGGAGACCCAGGGAGCCCTGCTCTGGTGGGGGAGAGGCAGGTGGCAGCTGAAGCCCACTGCCCTCTGTCCGCTTTGGAACCAAGGTCCCAGACCCAGACTGGAGAGGCCAAGCATGGACTGGGGAGGCCACGGGACAAGGCAGGGTCTGGCACCCTGCTCCCGGCCAGGGTGGAGCTGGGAGCCCAGCAGGTGGAGCATAGGCACAGGTAGGACCCAGCCCATCTGGAGCGAAGGAGGGTGACCCAGCCATTCTGGAAAGGCCTGTTGAGAGAGACTCCCTCATCTAGAGGCAGAAACTCCCCAACCCAGTAGACCCGAAGCCTATGTACCTGAGGCAGCCCAGCAGTCAGGACAGGCACCGAGTGCCCCCCACCCCCTTCTCCCAGTCTCTCCAGAGCCTGTGGTTTGCCTGGAGGCTCCTTCGTTGGACAGTGGCTCCCTGAGGTCAGGAATGGTGGGGGGTGCCTCTGGGTCCCCCAGGCCTAGGGCAGTGTCCTTGCGTATGACAGACTCTCCGTAGGCCCTTGTAAAATGAACATAATGAGTGGATAGCCCACGTCATACTATGCATTCCTGTGACTCCTTTGTCTCCAGAATGCATGCGGTCCTAAGGGGGACAGTAGTTGGTGATGGACCCCAGAGTGCCTCCCTCAGCCCTGGGAAGAAGTCTCCAGGTGACAGAAGCTGAGACATGATCCTCTGTGAGACCGCGGCGCGATGACTCCTCACCACCACCAGGGGGAGGACAAGTTACAAACACCAGGCTGTTGGCGGTGGGGAGGTAGAGGGGCGGGGAAGAGCTTGGTGGTCTTTGTTCAACCCCTCTTGTTCCCCAGCTCTTGTCCCTTCCCCACTCACCAAGGTCTCTGGAACCCGTTCCTCCAAACACCCCACCAATCTAGAGATGCCACACCCCGTGAGGAAGCCTTGGTTTATGGGTGACAAAGCTCAGGCCCAGAGAGGTGGTGCCTGTCTGCCCAGGTCCACACAGCCTGTTTGCAGCGCAGACCAGATGAGAAGCCAGCCAGACTGGCTCCTAGTCCAGGGCCCTTGCCTTCACCCGCCCGGCCCACACAGTTCCTGCTAATACCTCTTTCACCCGCGAGCTCCCTTTCCTCACCCAGGGATGGGCCGATGGCTCCCAAACCTCAGGGCTGGGCTTGGGTCACCTTTCCTCCCTACCTGGTCCCCCATCCTGCCAGAGAGCCCCACCCTGGGTCAGCCCAGAGCAGCCCAGAGTCAGAGGACCTACTTCCAGGCACAAAGAGACCACAGGGATTTGGGGGAGAGGCGGGAGGGAGGGGAACGGTTCAAACAAATATAGACCCTCAGCTCCTTGCCCTTCTCCTCCGTCACACGGGAAGATGAGGCAAAGGGGGATGGTGGGTCCCCAATGAACTTGGCCCCTCACTGGTTAGATGGCTTCAGCTGAGTCTCACGGCCCTGGTGGCGCTGCTACCTGCTCACAGCAAGAAAGATGAGGCTGTCTGCTGATCGCAGTGCCACATACAACCCCCACCCCTACTCCCCGCCATGGGGATGAACAACAGAACCGAGGGTGACGGGAGACAGCAGACGGTGTAAACTATGAAAATAAAAATAATTTTTTAAAAACATTTTATTAGGGGCTCATACAACTGTTATCGCAATCCATACACACATCAATTGTGTAAAACGCATTTGTACATCATTCTCAAAACATTTTCTCTCCACTTAAACCCCCGACATTAGGTCCTCATTTTTCCCCTTCCTCCCCGCTCCCCCCTCCCTCATGAGCCCTTGATAGTTTATAAATGGGTATTTTGTCATATCTTGCCCAGTCCGACATCTCCCTTCACCTACTTTTTGGTTGTCTGTCCCCCAGGGAGGAGGTCACATATGGTTCCTTGTAATCGGTTCCCTCTTTCCTACCCATTCTCCCTCTACCCTCCCTGTTTCGCCACTCACACCACTGGTCCTGTAGGGCTCATCCGCCCTGGATTCCCTGCATTTTCAGTTCCTATCTGTACCAGTGTACCTCCTCTGGTCTAGCCAGACTTGCAAGGTCGAATTCGAGTCATGGTAGTGGGAGCGGGGAGGAAACATTTAGGAACTAGAGGAAAGTTGTATTTCTCATCGTTGTTACATCGCACCCTGACTGGCTCGTCTCCTCCCCGAGACCTAATTTCTAAATTATCAAGGGTTCACGAGGCTTTGAGGGAGGGGGGCAGCTGATACCAAGGACTCAGTAGGAAGAAAATGTTTGGGGGATGGTGATGGCAGCCTATGTACAAATGTGGTTGACACCCCGGAAGCACGAGTGTCAGAAGAGCTGTAAGAGCCCCCAGTAAAACGATTTATTAAAATAAAGAAATAAAGAGTCAGCCTCAGAAACCTATGTCGATAGAGTTGCTGTGCTGACCACGGGATTTTGGCTGCTGCTTGCTGGTTTGGGTGGTTTGGGTGTGGCGCTCTGGTCCTGATTTGTTCCAGGGGGCATGTGTGTGTACGCCAGATGGACTGACAGGGCCCCGGCACCATCACGGCCACCCGGCTTGGGATTGCTTTCTTCTCTCCTCAGGTAACCCCCTGGTAGCCCCGCTGCAGCAGGCACACACTGCCTTTACAGGGCCCCTTCCACTGGGCTGGGAGACAGGGTTGTGGGGACCACTTGTGACCTCCAGGGCAGCCCCTTTTTACTGTCTGCCTATGGCCCAGGCTCCCTGACCAGGTTTCCCTCCCCGATGCCCCGCTCTCTTTCAAACCCCGGTGCCTGGCTGCTTTCTGTCCCCAAGCAGCCTTTGGGCTCCTGGAAGCGGGCTCTGTGCTCCACTCGACCTTGGACACCACCAAGCCCACCAGGCTCACGTCCCAGTGCTTGGGAACCATCCTGCCTTCCTGGCTGGGGCAGAACCAGCAGAGGCCACTAG